AAGTAAAGGCTTGTGTCGCTTAAGTTTCGTCGGTAGGAAGTTACGGAAAATCAATTAAAAAAAACGGAGACGTAACAATATGTTTCGTATGGTACAGTTCTCAATAAAACAAAACTACTAAAACATCAGATTTCAGAAAGATATGTAGTAAAGTCCAAAAGTAGTAACGTATCTGTGAAATAATTAGTGATTATTTAGAGATAGGTAACACAAAGTGACCTTTGGTTGAAATGGATTTACACTTGCATTGTATTGGTTTTTAATAACTCCATGATATTTGTAGTTTCTACTCAATCCTTTTCTTAGGAACTCAGACAGGTTGAAAAACAAAAGAACAGAATGTGTATGTTAATCTAGAACTATGTCATTAGTGGGTATAAGTATCATACAAGAGTACTGTGTAAAACTTTGAGTAAACATTTTATCTATATTAATGTTTTAGCATGTTCAATAAATACAGTAAAAATATATTGAAAATCTTACAATTTTTCTTCAAAAATATTTAATTTTGTGTTTATTTTTTCTGTAGTAAGTTTAATCAGATATGCAACAAGCTAACTTGAAAAGATAGTTCTTGTGCAAAGATAGAAATTTTAATCTTCAAATTGGAAAAACAGTTTCATTTCAGTGATGTTAACATTATCTTTCTATTCATCAGAACACCAGTGAAAATGATGGAAGAGAACCAGATTTTCCTCACATAGATGTTGATTTTGAACAGAATCTTCCTCCAGCTTACGAAGAAGCTATCAAATATCCGTCTCCTTTCTTTCGTTTGAATTCGGTCAATTTTAGCTCAAATGTTTTATCCAATAGAGGTCTTACGGAAACTGATACTGCTAGGTCTCTATCAGACCTTCGTGTATCAACTATTGAAGAACTTGCTGCTACTGAGAACCAACACCAAACTAATTCTGAAATGGACATCACGCCAACTGTAGATTCTGTGGCTCCTCCTGACTATTCTGACATTACCGTCTTGCCTACCAGGATGAATGGTAACTCCTCACTTGGTCCTCCTGGAAAGTATATTTGGTTTTTGGTCCTCAATGAAGAAAACAGTTCGCCGCTTGAAGCTCACGATATATCTAGAATAAGCGAGACCAGTAATACTGATAACGTATACGTTACAGAAAGTCGTGCTGGTCATTCGACTACCCAAAGTGTCCCAAGAAACACTCCTATACTTTCATATGTTGAAAACAATGAATCAAATGTATCTAGACCTATAAGAGTTTCGAGACCACAAACAACGGAGTTTCATGAAAATCTTAATTCTTATGCATGTTCTAGAGGAAGTCCAGAAATAATGGATAGCAATTTTCGTTTGGTTGCTAGTCTTTCTAATGATGAAGTTAATCCAAATGCTGTTCATCATTCAGCCTTAACACTCGAACATTTATCTATCAAAAACGAGGACTTAGAAGGAAACCGTTTGGATTACCAAAGTATGAATGAACGAGTTATGAATTTGGAGTCACAGTCAATTTCTATCTCGTCAGATACAGCAGCTTAAACTTCATATGTGCCTTTTTTAGGTTAACTTCATGGGATGATGAGAAATCAGTATGAAAGAAGCTCCTGACTTACAACAAGGTTACATTTTGCCATCACATTTCATGCAGAATATATAAAAGTTTTGTTTTTGACTTGTGATCCATAGTGTCTCCAAATCAAGTTCATCATCTTAGGGTTTCTTTCAAATATGGTTTAATTTTATCAAACTGTTTGTAAGAACAACTGTTTAAACAATGACCTACCAAAAGGTCGAAGTATAAGTTCATGAAATAGTCAAACGTTTGTATTATATTATTGGAAACTGTGACGTCCCAATAATTTATACTAAGGAGGAAGTATATTTTGAACAATTGGGTATGTGGTAAAAGAACAAAAATAATGGCCTATTTGTGACTTTTCTGTGAAGCTTATTTTGTAAATGAGAAAATATTCTATTAAGTTTGTAAAGCAACAAAAACTGCTTCACCTTATAAAGTTAGTAAGTGATTCGTTCGGAGTATTTTCAAATATTGAATATTTTTCTTTTTTTTTCTTTAATACAGTAAATTCGTATAGCTCTTAGTATTCAACTTAATATATACTTATTAAAGTGATACCCAGGTAAAAAGTAATATCAGTTTATAAAAACATCATATAAAAATGGACAATTAACAAGTCAATCCAAGAGCTTGTTCCCCAGTGACACAGCGGTATGTCTGCGGACTTACAACGCTAGAAACCGGGTTTCGATACCTGTGGTGGGCAGAGCACAGATAACCCATTGTGTAGCTTTGTGCTTAACTTCAAACAAACAAACCAAGAGCTTAACTTGGTTCGATAAGAAACTGAACAAATATTCAAAATCACAAGGTGGCATTGTCTTTTATTAGAAAAGTATTTAACTGGTGTTCTTTGAAATGTTAATTCTTGGATTAATGTAAATTTCTTTTTACTGGAAAAATTCTGACTAATTGACACTCTCCAAAACGAAAAAGATATTACAGCCTAAAAGGTTATCAAAGATTTTGAAAGTTTCTATTTTACAAAAAATATTGCATTACAATAAACGTAATTCATGTCTAAAAGAAACCGATTGCCTACGGCATTATTTATTTGCTTGTTTATTCTAATTCAATTGTTATACGTTGCCAAAAAAAAAACTTTTATGCTTCCCAAAATGTACAGCTACAAGTAAATGCGTGAAATCTTTTACCAAAAGTGAAACAAGGAAAACAGCAATAATAGCCACGTACCTAACGAACTAAAAGTCTCATAAAAATCTCGTTTAACTTGAAAATTATTATTGCTAGCTTATCACTTAAATTTATCTCGGATTGGTTAACTAGGATGATTTCTACATGAATGATTTAATTTTAGAGAAAGTAACGAAGCTAAAGCAAAAAGAAAAGAAAATAGCAGTTAACAAACGTGGTGCAGCGCAGGAGTCTTCGTGAAATCAAGACAAATAATGTTTTCGGGCAATGTGTTTTCTTTTTTGTAGCGTTTTTCTTGCACGCAGATTTAATATATACAAGTTGTCTATCATCAAAATAAATTTTAGAAGCATTCCAAAACAAAACAGTTTCAATACATATGTTTATGCATAAAAAGTCCACCTCTCCATTCAAAAGTGGCGTTCAAGTAAAACTGTTGTATACAAACTGTTCTTTGAAATAAGTTTATGATCTATACAGCAATGGACATCTAATAATTTACTGAAGCTAAAAGTATTGTATAGGAGCATCTCAAACGACATATCATTTAATTATAACATAAAAATACTGGTAACTATACTGTTCTTGATTTAATATTCTCATTTGTAACATAAATTAAAAAGTACTGGCATCTATCGTATTATTAATTGAATATTTTTGTATATTTGAATATAAATACAAACAAATGTGAAATAAAATCTTTATGTAATAATGTTGCGCATCAATGTATATTTCTAAAGTAGTAAATGCTTATACCACTGAGCAAATGGTGTTTGGTCATTTGATTTTAATATTTCCTTGTGGCTGATGTTTCAATCCGGCTACCAGTTTTTAAGAAAAAATATATTAAAAACTAAACAAACCTGAGATTAAAACTTTCCAATGGATCAGCTAAGTTTCGATATTCAACAAAGCACCTATTTACCTACATTTTTAGCTCAATAAAAAATGTAATTTTAAGGAATTTTCTAAGATAAATCCATTCTGGCAAAAAGTTAATTTCAGGTGTTAACTATGCATTTAGACTAGTTTAACTTGAGTAACATTGTATTATTTTATTGGCGAAATCTTCAGTGTAACTGTCAACGATTTATATAGACTAAAAGAAATTTACGTCTTTATAGTGTTAAGCCTAATCTTATACTTTTCTTAAGAATAAGGTCATCTAATGAAGGCTTCTACTGTGAAATTGAACGTATTTGTATTTAAATTTCCTGTTTTAAATTTCTTAGTTCTATATTACATTTGGTAGCCGATCTATGGTTTTACCTACGGAGTAGTTCAACAAGGTTGTTTTTAGCATTTCTGGGGAACCTCCCATTCCAACTAGAGGATTTGGAGGAGCGCTGAAAGCCTTTTACACATTTATAATCCATAGTAGATGACGATAGAAAGCAACAACTTTTGATTAATGTAGGTTATAAAAATTCTCATTACTTACAAGTTAGAGGAAATTATTTTATCGTGAATTACATTAAACTAATTCCCCGCCCCTCTTTATCCTGTAAGCACGCAAAGCGAAATCTACATACATTCCCTCAAACAATGCCATTTCAACACTTTCACAAAAACATATTATTATATGTAATAATGCTTAATTTTTTCATGTTCAATCGATTACAATGCGATTCACTATAATTTAGAAAATCGGAAAAAGGTTAGTAGTAACCGACCTAAAATTTGCACAGGGATTTTAAAGCCAACACGACTGTCTGAGGCGTGCCGGTCTATATATCTGCGGGTCAACTGTTCGCCTCTCGCTACCGCAAAAAATAAAATTCGGGGCTTTGAATATGTTATAACGGTAAAAATTAGAGTAGCCCAAGAGTTAGTGATGGCTGCTGCTGAGTAACTGCCTTCCCTCTAATCTATCAGTTCAAAATTAGATATGACTATCGCAGATAATCGTTAAGTCGATTTGCGCAAATATTCGAAAACAAATATATGTAATTGATGCCATTATCTTCATTGATTTAAGCCCTTATTTCTGCTAGAACTTTCGAATCCCATCTGCGTCCGCCAACTGAATAATTTATTCATAACAGCCCTTGTTATCATAAGCTCGTACTTTTCAAGCTGATTTCAGATAATCTAAAACCAACTAAAATGCTACAGTAAACTACAGTGTGATAAACCGATAACACAAGCACATGGAAGATACGTACTGAAGGTTATAAAAAACGTCACAACTCACCAGGAAAAAGTAATCCCATCTTCTAGCAACAAAATGTCTCGAGAGAGTGTAGGGTATTGGCTAACAATGCAATCCAGTGTTTACTTCGAAAAACACAATTTAAAAATACTTAAATTGGCTTGCATAAAACATTTAACATTTTATTTAAAGAAGTAGACTGAAGCTCACACGTACATTGCGAATACTTAAGTATAATTAATACTGACACATGAATGAAAATTCATTGAACTTACAGTTAAAAAAGAAAACCTAAATATTAATTATTAATTTTGTGGTATTCAGGTACACTGATATCTAACAGATAAGTTAAAATTTTTCACAAAAACGCATGTTCAATGCTGTTGAGCGAAGAATAAATTGAATATGGGCAGCAAATGAAAAATAATTACACAAGTAAAAGGATAAAAGAAAATATATATTATGTTTGAGAGACATGGTTGGCAAGAAAGCATAATTTTATAGGTTATTACTATCGGCCATTTTGCCTTGATATAATATAATATAATACTGTTACGTCTGTGTGTTCGTTTGTTAATTTTCCGTAGAAATTATTTCCGAAGAACTTCAGCAATACAAGTCCTTTCTTAAATAAAACTAGTTTATTCTTTCTCAATTCAACTTTGCAGTACACTTAATTTCCACAGTCACTTTAACTTATACACACGCTAGAATTCACAACGATTCACGCAGTTTACTTACGGCTTGACTCGATTATCTGTCTATATCTTCAATCTGTTTTGTCAGCTATGTCCGTTCCGATTGATTGTCGGGCTTATATATTAGAATACAGCACATCTAGCAAACACTCAAGCATTCATGAACCTTCGAGATACTCATTACGTGTTACCAGCGTCACGTGACTTCCGCTGACGTAACAATACTATATTATGACGATATTTCGGGACATTTGGACATGAAAGTGTCCTGAAACGTCGCCGTAACATATATAATTCCAGACAAAATGCCAGATAGTAAAAACCTTAAAAATCTTTGTTCACAATAAAATGTAGCATATTTTACTCACTGGTCTGCTTACAACTATCCGCTGCCTCTTAATAATTAGAGTGAGAAGCTTTCTACACGACTGTAAAGGACAAAGATAACAAGAATTCTAGTGATTCCCCACGGGACAAAGACAAGAAAAATTCTGATTTACTGCGCCAAAGCTGGAAAAAAAATTTAAAGTATATCAAAATCCAGTGGAGCATACGTCATTGACTATATATATTTCAAGAAACAAGTCTAAATAATTCTCCAACGCTACTTTATGTGGGAAAGTTCAGAAACAATAAAGGAGGAATGACTCTTGACAATGAATAACTAGCACAAGAATAAGTTCATTGCATTCCAGAGTCGTCCATCTGCACGTAAAAGAAACTTTATTACAAATAACAAATGTACAACGTTGTAATAAGTTTCTTGCATTACCCATTCAAGCCGTCTCCAAACTTTATTATATAAAAGTGAGTTCATTGTCATTAAATATAGCACGTGCGCCAATACATGTAAAGTGCGAAAAACATTTTACATTTCAGCGAATAAGAAACATTCACCTTTCTAAACTAAAAGGAAAAGAAGCACCTAGTATGAGAAATATGCTACACCAGCAACTTTTTCCGAAACTTAAGCTAGTTTCTAACCCGTTTTACTCAAATCAAATCTACCACCCAACTCTTCGAGACTAATTATTATTTAATTTTCTGCCTTATAACTTCCTTATTAAAAAGAACGCTTGTAGTATCAATACTTATCTTAAGAAGAGAAAGCACCCTACACCTATAACATCACATAGATGTTCACTGACTCTTTTTTTTTATCTTTATCTTTAATGTAGTTGGGTCTTGATTCTGAACTTAATGTATGCTAAATTCCCTCTCATAGCCAGATTGGGTTCTTAGTTAAGTTTTGACTTTAGCTACTGAAGCAGATTAAGATCAGGTCTTCACAAGATGAAGAGTATGCCAGCATTGTATTATTCCATACTTTTAGTCAGCTAAATCTTGATAACTGTAGTATTCTACAAATCTAAGTTACCTACATCTGAGGACATACTCATGTCACATATAAGAGGAGATAGTTTCCCTATTACTTCTAATTTTGGGCATGACCTGCAAGCCAAATGAGAAAACACAGCAGTACAAGTAGGTAAGTATAAGCTTTCAAAACGACCACAGCAATGTACGTCCTACTTGACGCAAATGTTAATGCAGGGACGCTAACTAAATACAAGAACACCTGCATGAAATTTTTGAAAAATCCTAACTGAATAAGATGTGTTTACATTCTAATTATGAGTGATAACATACTGAGACTTTTCACTTGCCATAAAAAAGCAATTTCTCCAACCACTGGGCCATGGTCTAAAAACAGATCCTAGTAATTTTTGTACTGAGCTGGGCTGTGAGGAGCTTTTAAAGTTGTATCACAAATACGTATGGGAAACGTGGAAGCTATTTCAATAAAAATGATGTAGTTTGAAATTGTTTTTATGACATCGTAACAGAAAGTGAGAGGTAAAGTAACGCCGTTTGGTAAAACTGTTCAATAACGTGCACAGGGCATGGCTGGATGAGCTCAAACCCTGCCCTTATGCTCCAAAATGCTCCTTTTCTCAGTCTTAAAAACTGAAAACAACTACCAAAAGATACATCTGATTCCACACCTTGCTTGCTGCAAGTTGTTAAGTAAGTAAAAAAATTCGGCTTTAAAGTGAATGAAACACAAAGTCAAAATAAAAAGAAAAAAACCTGTGATATGCTATTCAGTGTTAAAAAAGCAGGAATTCATTGTTTACTTATAGATTTGACAATAAAACCATTGGAATAGGAAAAAAGAAGGCATATTCGCTTTTTATCGTTTTTTTTTTTACCCTATGTGTATCAGAGGCAACCCATAGTATCTTCTAACGTTTCACCCCCCCCCTAAAAGCTTGCATTACGACTCTTGAAAAGTACCTATTTTGTCAATGACTGTTTGTTTTGAATTTCGCGCAAAGCTACACGAGGGCTATCTGCGCTAGCCGTCCCTAATTTAGCAGTGAAAGACTAGAGGGAAGGCAGATAGTCATCACCACCCACCGCCAAAGAATAGTGGGATTGACCGTCACATTATAACGCCCCCACGGCTGAAAGGGCGAGCATGGGACGGGGATTCGAACCCGCAGATTGCGAGTCGAGTTCCCTAACCACCTGGCCATGCCAGGCCTTTGTCAATGAGCTATTGTCTTTCTGATGTTCTCTGAACGGTGCTGAAACTGGTAGTGCAGAATCCCTCATTGAAGTAAAATTATATAGCCTGTAGTATGGGAAGTTTCTCAATAACTGGTAAATGAATACTTATATTCTATTCTGAAATATTCTCCAAATTATTTATGTGTCACCTCTCCCATTATTATTTTGCAAGTTTTTGCTGGGTTTATGATACGGGCATTGGGCC